ATGGAGCCAAAACGGAGCCATTCATCTGATTTTCCAAGCCTTAAACATTTGGAAGAAAGGGACTCAAATCTGAACCACTCCTCATCTCAGCTTTGCTTTTGCTAAACCAAAACTCACCCAAAGCCAATCCCAAATCCCTTAGTTTAATCCATCCCTGTTGATAATAGAAATGGAGATACAGATTAGGCTGGTTGCATACACATCATTACCATTGGCATTATTACTTGTCACACGGTTGCAGACTTGGAGAAACAGACGAAAGCATTGAATTGACCCTCCCTGGCCTGATGAAAGAAAAACAACAGAGTTGGTTGGAAAAAGGTGTTAATTCCTAAAGGATGTAGGGTGGGATCATTTCAAAAGCACCAAGAGTAGGCCTAATTCTCTTCTCATTGGAGACATGGGAGCTTTACCATTGACTTCAACGAAAGAAGATTTAGGCGAATATTTAAAAGTGTTTGAAAATCCCACCCTCATATTTTAATTGTCGGAAGGGTAAGAGTTAAAAAAAAAACATACTAGAGATCCTACGCTGTTCATACTTTTATTCTGAATTTCTCATCTCCCTGATTGGTCCAAAACTTACGCTGCACTGAGTGAATTAAGAGGCTGATTGAAAAGTGCATGATTTGCTAGTTACCTGTGAGACGGCACTTTAGAAATGGAGGTTTAGGGGCAGAGAGAAGGCATCTATAAAGAGAAGTGTGCTTTGAAAGGTCTAGGCACTGCTGCAAGAAATGGCATTACCTCACACTTGTCAAGGCTCAGAAGTTTTATTACCAAGGCATTTCACTTTTCCCTCTTATTCTTAACACAGTGACCAGCACTGGGACTGAGAGGATTTGCTGATCTAATATAGATAGTGATTTCGTAGGTTTGTTCAGATTTATACAGACAGCACCTTGGGATCAGGAATTACATTTAAAATGTAATAAAATGTGCTTGTGCACTTTTACTTACAAATGCTGTACTTAAAAAAGTAAACATCAAATAATCTCTGATATCTTTCAAGAAAATGTTGACATAGCTCAAGAAGCTCATACAGATCACCGAGTAGTTTTCTAAGTAAATGTAATAAACTCATTTTCTTATTCTGTCACTGTGCCATGAAGTATCACATCATTGGGATGGAGGGAAACTAAACAATATAGTTTTGTTTAAAGATATATTTTTAAAACCCATTGTGTACACACGTACAGAGACTACATCGCTTTATGTATGTAGCCACAGTGTCTGTGTCGCATTTTGATTGTTTTAAAGCAATTTAGTATCAAGCCTTAGTCATGTGAATTTGAGTTAGTTTATTAATACTTTGCAGTATGGTGAAAAACAAGTCACATTAATATTAATAATAAGATTATTTATTTGTATTACTATCATGCCTAGTCATGGACCAGGACCCCATTGTGATAGGTGTTGTACAACCATAACCCAAACTGGTTCCTGATTCTAGGGTGAAATCTTGGTCCAACTGAAGTCAAGGGCAAAACCCCAGTGGTTTTCAATGGGTCTAGGGTTTCATGCCTAATATGTAGCTTCAGTAGGACTCCGTGCAAGTTCAGGGGTCCATCTCCATGGATTCTGATGCAGCATCAGGAGCCTTAGATTGATACAATTGCTCTAAGTGGTCAGAATTACACATTTATGTTATACAGCCACTTCCTCTGATGTGTCCCACTCCAGAGAATCTTTATTATGCAACAAAGTCCTTATGTTTGTAATGTGGCAAAATACATAATATTGTCATTTATATAATTATGAATAAATATAGCTTGTAATTTGATATAAGTATTCCTTCAGAGCAGAAACCAAATATATAGAGTGTACAAGCAAGAAACATATAATTATGGTTCTATGGGTATGTTCAACAACGTAGTGAAAAGATAGATTCTTGGAAGACACCACATTTCAATGCCCTCAATGTCGACACACACTTTTTCATCATCCTGAATGGAGCCTTTTTTTTAGGAATTGGTGAAAGCACTGAACAGCAACTACGGACACAACAGTCATGTCCTTTGGTCAATGAAGCAATAGCCTACAGTCAATCATGTCAAAGTTGATTAGATGACCAGCATGACCAACCTAAAACCAGCAAGAGGTCATCCATGATCATGACCTTCAAATGTGGAACCTACCCAGTGGATCAGTGGTGTTCAAATCACCTTGAACTGAAAACTACTGTCTTCTATGTAAGTACCTCCTGCCCCCGCCCTCTCAAAAAAGGGGGGGGTCAAGATTGGGCAGTAATTGTCAATCGCTCCACTATCAGATACAATTTAGTGTCAGAAGTGATTCCTTGAGGAGAGAAGGGTGACTTACACTGTTTAAAGATGGTCATGACTCTCTTTTGAGGTTCAGATAATACCACCTGTAATTAGCAGCCCCACATCAAACTCACATGTTTCAAACAGCCAAGAGGAAGAAGGTTTATAATCTCCAGTGGTGGGCTTTAGAGAACCTAGAAGACTTTGGGCAGCCTGATCAGAAACTAAGTTATACCCAAGCCTGGGGTGACAGTTCATCAGGACTCTACAGATCTGGCAATCTAAAGGTCTTGATGAGAGAAACCAAGCCTGTGTGTCTCCATCTGTCTTCAGTTTTTCTATGTAAAAGCTGTAAATTATTATCCATATTTTACAGATTGGTAAACTGAGGCATAGGGAGGTAATGTGATGCCCAAGATCACAATGCAGCATTTCAGTGACATGCACTTCTCCATTTTGCATGAGTGTTTATGTGTTTGTGTCCCCCGTTTCATCCTTCCAGTTCTCTCATCACAAGAGAGTCTGTTCATGCCAATAAAATGTGAGGAAATGTTCAGTTTTCCTGCCAACGAGCCATTTTGTCACACTGAGCTGAGAAAATCCTTGGAAGAGACTTTTATGCTCATTCAGTTGGATTCTTAGCCATTGACTTTGACGATTTGGTTTAAATAAATAGAGAATCAGGAAACTGAGACAGACGTGAATCCCACAACAGAACATTCAAGTGTATATTCTCCTCCCAACCAATCTCCCCTTTTCTTTCCAAGTTAATTAATAACTCTGGAGGTTGTAAAAAATCTAACTTGGATCTGCAAAAAGCTCTTGGTTTGTGTCCCTTAACTGCTGTCTTTAGCATGGTGGAGGTGACTGTAAATTATCAAAAAGGCTGTTAAATGAGGCATAGGACTCTCCAAATGAAGGAGGTGTGAATGGAGTCTGTTTTTTGCCAACATTTTAGATTGAATGATTTGGACTCGGAGGAGTTGCACCTAGAAAACATATATACATTGACACTGTAGAGCAGGGATCGGCAACCTTTGGCACACGGCCCGCCAGGGTAAGCCCCCTGGTGGGCCAGTCAAGTTTGTTTACCTGCAGCATCCACAGGTTTGGCCAATCGCAGCTCCCACTGGCCACAGTTCGCCATCCCCAGCCAATAAGGGATGCGGGAAGCAGCACGGCCCAAGGGATGTGCTGGCCGCCACTTTCCACAAACTGCATTGGCCGGGGACGGTGAACCGCAGCCAGTGGAAGCCACGATCCACCAAACTTGTGGATGCGGCAGGTAAACAAACCATCCCGGCCTGCAAGGGGGCTTACCCTTGTCTGGCTGCATGCCAAAGGTTGCCGATCCCTGCTGTAGATCTTACTCGTGCCAGGCTGAGCTCAGAGTGGTATTGGATTCCTTCTTATACACACACACACATGCACAATTATTATATATATAAAGGGCTGGGATACAAATTTCTTTAAACAATGTTCTGTTGGCCCTGGTTGTTTGAGGACTGCTTTAATCAGCTTCTGCCAGCAGGGGTCACTGTGATGCATTCACTGCTAAAGTGCGCGTATGAAAGGATAGCGGGAGAAACATAGGGGAAACAGACATAAAGAGAAGATATTTAATAAGCTTTGCCCTCCCCTTTCCTTTGAAAGGTGGTGTTTGGTTAAAATCTAAATGGAAGCCTTTTATATTGTTGTACCCTTTTCCACATCTAATCTACAGCATCAGACATCTGATCTCGATTCTCATATTATTATCCTCTAGCATAATGTGGATTGCAATCTCGCAATGGGATTAGGAACACATAAAACCTTCCAAAACATTTTTCAAGATTCCCCATATCCTTTCAGATGTTCAAACCAGAAGCGGAAAACGACTGAACTGTAGCTTGTATGCTCATGGATATCAAGCCGATAGCTTGCAAACCCAACTTCCAAAGGCTTCTAAAGTGAATACATATAAAAGAAACTGAGAGCTGATATTTGTATCAACCAAATGCTTTTCTGTTAAGTCCTGTCTCATGACATCTTTAAATGATAAGAGTCTGGATCACGAACGCAGCATCTAGACTGGTAATTATGAATGCAGCCTCATTTTTTCGTAATTCTCCATGAACAAATCCTGATTTCCATAAGCGTTGTTTGTTATTCATGTTGGCTTATTAGTTTTGACAATTATTTTTCATTGCTTGCAAACTGTTCATTTTGACTCTTCAATAGTAGTCATTCATGGTGTGTAGTTGATCACCTAGATCACCTGGTTTGTTTGTTTTTTTCCATTCCTTGATTGGAAGACGGAAAGTTTTTCAACTGGAGATCAATAAGAGATTAATAACCATTTTTAAAAGAATTTTCAGATGAATAATCATTCCTACTAAATTTGTGAAACTTTAGTGATTCACAGCTATACTTGCAAATACACATTAGTAGTTTGAATACTACCAATAATCACTGAATAACTAATCATATGACTCCATTATACAGAACAAAAGAGACTTTTATTCACCAAAATATTTGTAAATCAATTTTTCTTACCATTCATCCAGCTGTACACTTGACAAAATATTGGTCTTTGAAAAGTTTTGGATGAGAGGCTGAAAGTAACTGAAAGTTATTAGAAGATAAATGCATGTACATTATCATAGATATTATACTACTACCTATATAAATTGTAATTCACAAAAAGATTACTTGAAAAGGAACAAATAAAAATTAGAATAATAATTTCCTCACCAGGCTTCCATACTTATTGATCCAGTTTCTCAGCAGATATAAATTGGTTTAACTCTGTTGAAGTCAACGGAACAACTCCAGTTTACTCCAGCTGAGGCATTCTGACCCATTGTTGGGATGATGAAGGTTTATAGTCATTCTGCTCAGAACTGAACAAAACCTCTGGATTTCACTTGCAAATCTTTAAAGGTCCAATGCTTAAAAGATTTCTGGACTGAGCCCTGAATGGCAAAGGGATACATCTATGAATATTTTGTCAAATACAGTATTTTCCACTGCAAAATATTTTTTGCCCATTGTCATTGAATTGAGTAACTCTGCCATTACTACACTTACGGTCACTGTCATTTTCAAAAATGTCCTTCTTCTAAAGGTGATTTTATTTTTGAATTTTCATCCGAATGGCATAAAACTAAACTTTAACAACTTTTTGAGGGGAAAAAAAATATAGGCAGGTCAAATTCTACTTGTCAAGACAATATCCAGCTTTTAAAATATGATCCAGCATGGCAGGACAAAGTCCATTAAAGCTTACTGGGTGTTGGATCTTCAAAGCCCATGTATTAATCTTGGCATTGATCACTCTGGTTTGGACAATAAGCTTAGAGGGATTGTACTGAAGTTAGTATACCTCAAAATGTCTTTTAATCTGCTCTCTGAATATGAATAATTCTTCCTGAGCCTGATCCCAAGCCCTCTGAAGTCAATAGGAATCTTTCCATGGTCTTCAATGAACTTTGGTTTAGGCCCTACATATTATTATTTAAGTATAAAACTTGCATATTTAAGGAGATGCCAAACTGGTACGCTCATTCTGAACTTCCCTGAATCAAGGGAGAATTAGATCTGTAATACACAGACCTCAATAGATGTTGCAATATAGCCCTGTTTCCATAATGGACTGAACCAGGGCATGGAATGTGTCTAGCTAAACTCCGGGGAAGTCTGCATTGGAATCTGGGTCCAAACTCTGTGGCACAGACACATCTGCAAACAAACCTTGATTTTAAAAAAATGATGAGAAGTGCCTCCTTTTGCAAAGGAAAATGTGCAAAAGCAGATCAGACAAAATATTTTAATCTTTAGACATTTGTCCTCCAGCACAGTGTTCCTTAAAAATTCTTCCCCTTGTTTTACTGCGTCTTGCATTATTCATGTACTATATTTTTTATTTTTGTATTAAAAAAACAACAACAAAGGTTGTACTTAGGAGTGCAGGAGCTTTTGAGAACCTCTCTCCCTTGCTTTCTCTGCGTTAGGCTTCATTTGATAGCTATGAACTGTGGATAAAGAATAAATATGGCTTTTCTGTGCCTCGGGACTCTCACCTGACTAATTTATGTCTGACCTGCTAGAAGACCACTGACCTTGGAAAGTTTAATTGAGGCTGGGATTATATGGCCGTTTGAGGCCACCTGAATTCTGAGGGTGTGACTCTCTCTCTCTCTCTCTCTCTCTCTCTCTCTTTCTCTCAATCTAAACTGATCTGGAGTGTGTCTGTGTGCACACACCCTAAACTGAGTTGGCAGTGGAAGAATACCTTGTTGTATGTGATAACAAATGGGAAAGGCTTCCTATTATCAGAAACATAACAGGAACACTTTTTCCCCCTCCCCCCACACATGGAGATCTAATTTTTACAGTTGATTCAACTTTCTTATGAATGTGATTTTGCCTAAGAAGTGAACACTTAAAGGGTGGAGTGGAAATAATATAAATCTATGGACACCGTTTATTTAGTCCCACTCATACATATTTTAACTTCCCTTTAATTAAATTGTTTAAGTGCCTGATGGATGCTGATCATTTTCACTTATTTTACACTGTAGAAAAGTTATAGACTCTTAAAACTCTAGATAGATAGATTAGATTAGAATAGATTAGATACACACACATACACATCCCATAAGAATGAAAGGTGGAATAAAATGAAATAGTCTAGATATCTGCTAGCCAAACAGTACGATCTTTCTTACTGGAGATTGTCCCAAGATGGATATAAAGAGCTCTAACCTGAGCTTCTCTGAAGAAGAGGCTGACAAATATGCCATATTATGCATGAAGTTATTTTATGACACAGGCTATTGTCCACTGGAGACTGAGCGGACACTACTAAACTCATTTCACCTAAAGCCGCAAACTGCGCTCAAGGCCCGGAGGGGATTCTTCTCCTCTCAAGCCACTGTCCCCTTTCCAGGGCCAGAACATTCATTTTGCCTTGCACTCAAAGTCAGCAGGGCCAAAGCACTGAAACAGCCTAGCGAGGTGGAATTAACCATTGAAGTGCTGGAGGATTTAAACAACTGCTATAGTGTTCCCCTTTTCAGATACACTTTCTACAAACAATCCTCTCCAAAAATCAAACCAGATTCCACAGCATTTTCAAGGTCAAACTAAGCTTTCTTCACCCTCATTTCTAATGGGGTGCCCAGACTGACACCATGACCCCTTTCCATTTGTAAGTGTCATGGGAAATGAAAAGAGGGTATATAGTACAAGCTGTTAAGAGCAGCCTGAATTCCCCCATCTCTCTCCAGAAAACGATGTCATGAATCAGGATATGTTCTATTATCTTTATAGCGGGGGCCTGGATCAGCGTTCACATCACACTCCCTGTCAGTAACCGGCCCAAGACGGGGAAGCTAATGATCCAACCAGCGGACCAAATTCGGTGATGAATCCTGGTCATGTGCCACCTGAGGCACATTGTGCATACACTAAGAAGATCTTTATAGTCTTCATAATCTTTATAATCTGTGACGTAAAGCATACCTGGAGACCTGGAATACTGGAAGTGATCAGATCCAGTGCAATCTAAATTTGAAGCCTATTATTTATGTTAAGGGCCAGGTTTTGCAATTCATGGCCAGATTCTTGGCCTTTGTTCTACTGGCTTTACGCATGCATGCGTGCATACACAAAATTCCCAAAACAAACAAAACCCCACACACAACCAGCTGGGGATTCCCTTTTTGTAGGGAAATCCTCAGGTAGTGTCATATCTGGCTTTATGCAATCTACTCCTGTCCCCTGCCACAGGCCAAGGACAAGCATAGTTGGAGGGTTGTACCCTGGTTGCACCCCTAGACTAACAAACCATTCCCTAGGGGGCTGTTTCAGCTGGCACACAGTAGGGCTACTTAGAAGCTGCTCTAACCTGCACCAATCAATAGCAGAGCTAATAGAGGATAGTGACCACACCCCCAGTAGCCTTCAGTTGGCATTTTCAAGCATATTATGCAATTGAAAAAAGGAGGTATACAATACAAATTTTCACTTGATAGTCATGTGTTCTTACAGCCCTGTAGCAAATTAAAACAAAAAATAACATACAAAATGATATAAGAATATCATCTGAAGAGAGAAATGAGTCAGACCAATGGTCCATCCAGGCCAGTAACCTGTCTTCTGATTGGTTTCAGAGAAACAGCCGTGTAAGTCTGTATTCGCAAAAAGAAAAGGAGTACTTGTGGCACCTTAGAGACTAACCAATTTATTTGAGCATGAGCTTTCGTGAGCACAGAAGACATTATATACACACAGAGACCATGAAACAATACCTCCTCCCACCCCACTGTCCTGCTGGTAATAGCTTATCTAAAGTGATCATCAAGTTGGGCCATTTCCAGCACAAATCCAGGTTTTCTCACCCTCCGCCCCTCCCCACACAAACTCACTCTCCTGCTGGTGATAGCCCATCCAAAGTGACCACTCTCTTCGCAATGTGTATGATAATCAAGGTGGGCCATTTCCTGCACAAATCCAGGTTCTCTCACTCCCTCACCCCCCTCCAAAAACCACACACACAAACTCACTCTCCTGCTGGTAATAGCTTATCCAAAGTGACCACTCTCCCTACAATGTGCATGATAATCAAGGTGGGCCATTTCCAGCACAAATCCAGGTTTTCTCACCCCCCCACCCCCATACACATACAAACTCACTCTCCTGCTGGTAATAGCCCATCCAAAGTGACCACTCTCTTCACAATGTGTATGATAATCAAGGTGGGATTGTGGCCCGTGCCAGATGGTTCAGAAGGAAAGAACAGAGCCGGGCAATTTATTGAGTGATCCACCCCCTGTCATCCAATCCCAGCTTCTGGCAGTCAGAGGTTTAAGGACATTCAAAGCATTGGATTGAATCCTTGACCATCTTGGCTAATAGCCACTGGTGGACCTGGTCTCCACGAACTTATTTAATTCTTGAACTCAGTTGCACTTTTGGCCTTCACATCACCTCCTGGCAACAAGTTCCATAGATTGACTGTGCATTGTGTGAATCTTAGTTTTGAACCTGCTGCCGACTAATTTTATTGGGTGACCCCTGGTTCTTTTATTATGTGAAGGAGTAAATAACACTTCCTTATTCATTTTCTCCCCACCATTCATGATTTCATGGATCTCTATCATATCCCCCCTTAGTAATTTCTTTTCTAAACTGAACAGTTCCAGTCTTTTTAATCTCTCCTCATATGGAAGATATTCCATACCCTTAATCATTTTTCTTGGCCTTCTCTGTATGGTTTCCAAGTCTAATCTATCTTTTGTGAGATGGAGTGACCAGAAGTGCACCCAATATTCAAGGTGTGGGAGTATCATGGATTTATAGAGTGGCATTACGAGGTGTTCTGTCTTATTATCTACCCCTTTCCTAATGGAGCCTAATGGTAAAACAAATAACCCTGCAGCAGCGGCTCCTGAAGGTTCTGTTCCACGGGTCTAGCTGGGCTCAGCTCACCACTCCTGGACTTCCTGATGTGGGGTGGGTGGCACTGGGGCTATACCTGAGTGAGCAGTGTTACAGCATAGTGTATGGGGCCATTGCGCCACTCACTCAGCTTGATGGAGGGACAGCTGGGACAAACTTGAGCAGCACTGCGACCCCATGCACCAGTGCAGGGAGCTGAACACAGCCAGCGACACTGAACAGGAGCTGCAGAGCTGACACTGCGGGGTGAGTATGCGGTAGGCTCACTGTGCACTAACTACCCACCGGGCATCCTACCCCCTAGGAGCAGCACACAACCCACACCCATTGCCTCCTACCCCGGGGTAGCACCTGCGGTCTCTCCCCTAGGGTTTTGTGAAAGTAGCAAGCCTATAGGCATAAATGAAGGTGGGACCACTCATGACCCATCATTACACTCCCTGCCACAGTTGCATTGCTGGGGAAGAAAGGTGATCGATAGTCATTTATGCAAGGGGATCTAGTCCACAAC